ATGTTTTGAAAATGATGATGGCAACATGTGCACAAATGTGCTTGATACAATGGATGTATGGATTATTATGAGATGTAAGAGCCCCCAATAAATGATTTATAAAAGTTAAAAATAAAAAGTGGACCAAAACTAAAAATCATAAATGAGCCCAGACTTACAGGTCTCATAGAGACTTAGTCACATTTCAAGCTTGAACTTGAGGCTGCTTCTGGGGGAATCATCTTTCACCCACAAAATCCAACCTCACAGCCAGCCAGTCGATTCTGACTCACCGGGAGTCAGGTCTACTCGGCCCTGACTCTAAATCTGTGTGGGAGTCAAAGCCCCATCTTTCTCCCCAGGAACGGCCGGCAGTTTCAAACGGCTGACCTTGCTGTTAGCAGCCCCAACGGGGAACCTCCACTCCCCTCCTGCCCTGACAGCACACAGGCCTGAAAGCGAGCAGGAACATGCTCCACGGAGACCATAGAGGCAGCATTTCCCCCGACGCAGAGCTCAGAAGGCCGGGAGGACGGGGCTGTGCATGGAAGCAGGGAGGCCGGGGAGGAAGCAGGCAGAGTGATGTCAGAACCAAACTGTGGGGAATCAGCTGAACGGGACGCGTGTGCTCGGTGAACTTTTGCCCGAATCACAAAATTCAGCTCACTCACTGCCAAGGGACTCAGTGAATGGGGTAGAACCGCACCCCTGAGTTTCTGGGACTGCTAACTCTTTTCAGGAGTAGAAAGCCTGGTCTTTCTACCACGGAGAGGCTGGTGGTTTCGAACTGCTGACCTTGGGATGGCAGCCGAACGTGTACAGTACGAACCACGATGGAAGGCTCAAAATAAAATCAATCAGCAAAGCTGAATAAATCAATCCGGAAAATCCAGTGGTTGCCGAGGGGCCGGGACTGTGAAACAGGGGAGATGAGTAAGGGGGGGCAGAGGGGATTGCTTAGGGTTGTGATTTTGTATGGTTGGCCCTGTCACGGGGTGGGGGGTGGGGGGCACACGACGTCATACATCTGTCCAAACGCACAGGGCTGTGACCTTCTATCAGCCAAGGTCACCTCCCTTCACCATTGCCTCCCGGCGCCCCCTGGTGACAGGAGCACTGAATGGCTCCACAGAGCTTTCTGAGCGGTGGACCTTTCAGAAGCAAGTCATCCCTGGGTGGGCTTGCACGGCCCACCCCGTGCATGCTGGTCACTTGTCTACTCACCCGCCAACCGCCCTGACTAGGGCTGACCCCCCTGAGTGTTCCTCCAGGGGATTCCCCGCTCCTCCGTGCGACTGAAGAGAGCCTCCTATCTGCTTTTTAAGCGAACGTGTCCCTGTGACTCCTTGCTGTGGGTAGGTGCCAAGACCCGAATGTGCAACAGAACAAAATACTGCCTGGTCCATCACCATCCTCACAGCTGGTCCTGTGCCTGAGCCCATCGCTGCAGCCACGGGGTCCCTCCGTCTCCTTGGGGGCCTACCTCTCTTCGCTGCCCCTTTGCTTCACCGAGCATGAGGTCCTTCTCCAGGGACTGGTCTCTCCTGACAACGTGTCCAAAGTAGGTGGGGTGAAGTCTCACCATCCTTGCCCGCCGGACTCATTCTGCTGTACGTCTTCCAGACAGGTGTGTTAGCTCTTGTGGTAGTCCGTGGGACGGCAGAGAGGAGAACTGGGCTCCTCCACGAGGCTGATTTTAGGAGGAGGGGAAGGGTAGAGGTGGCCAGGCCTTTCTTCCAAGTAACAGTAGGTTGTCTACTCCAGAGCAGTGTGGCCTTTACAGGACACACGTGCAGACTGCACAGCGACCCCACGTACACACAGCCCCGCCCCCCATCCTTTCTGGCAGACCTCTCCACTATATTTGCTACAGTTGACAAACCAGTACCGTTGATTGTCAAGATACTTTTTAGTCTGAAAGCACTCTAAAGTTTATTGCTATTAATATACTAAAAACACTTTCTGTTTATTTATTTTTATTAGATACTTTTAGTGGGGGCTCTTACATCTCTTAATACAATCCATACATTCATTTATTGTGTCAAGCACATTTGTACATATGTTGCCATCATCATTTTCAAAGCACTTTCTTTCTACTTGAGCCCTTAGTATCAGCTCCTCCTTTTTTCACCCTCCCTCCTCCGCCCTCCCTCCCTCATGAACCCTTGATGTTATAAAATATTATTTTCATATCTTACATCATCCTCTGTCACCCTTCACCCACTTTTCTGTTGTTCGTCCCCCTGGGAGGGGGTTATATGTTGATCCTTGTGATCAATTCCCCCTTTCTCCCCCCACCTTCCCCTTACCCTCCTGGCATCTCTATTCTCATTGTTG